TTTTTTTTTTTTTCAAATGTCTATCCAACTTCTAGATCATGAGGAAGGTTTAGAAATTTCAGTTAAACTGTAACTTCATGGATACTGGGTAAACTAAATGTTTACAGTGTGCATGGATTACACTAGGCTGTGCACCAAGAAGGAAGATTGCGTGCAACTTTTCAATAAGAATCTAAAAACCATCTATAGCATATATTTAAACAATCCATCTGTTTTGTGAAATGCAAAGGCCTGCTCTTGAAAACTCAGGAGTTATCAAGTGACACCAAAATGATAAAACTATGCTCTTTTGTTTTTCAGGTCTTAGGAACAGATGAGGATAATATGGGGGATGGCTGCTCTCAAAAACTGGCTTCTGCCAAGTTCCTGCGACTTCTGCTCCTAATACTGATTCCATGTATCTGCGCCCTTATCCTTTTGCTGGTTATTCTGCTTACCTTTGTAGGTGAGTGCTAATGGAGTAAATTGTCTCATTTTCTGTGAAGGAACTGAAAACTGAGATATAACAGCATTCTCAAGCGCTGGTGTAATTATGGATGTTCAAGGTGTACATTAGTACATCTACCTAACAAACTAGTTACCTAGTGAAAGAATAATGCTTGTTACAATGAGACAAATATGCTGCTTAGATTTATATATTTAAAATTTGTTGAAGGTAACAAAGAAACCATTTCTTATGAGCATACTACCTGAAGAGGTAGTATGTAGATGGTTTTCAGCAGTCATTTTACAGGTACAAGATGATGTTTATGTTGGACTTTTATGTATTTAAGCAAAATATGTTTGTTTGTTCTATTATATGAAATATATATCAATGCAAAACCTCAAGTGTGTTTTGTAGAAACTTGTTCCAGGAATATTAGATTTCGTAATGGCTTAGTCTGATAAATATTAGATTTTGTAATGGCTTACTCTGATAACTAACTGCATAGATTACAGAATTAACAGGCTAATAGTTTATAACCAGCAGAATTTTAAGAAGCCATCCCTCTGTTACCACTACAGAGAAGTTGACATATCTTTTAATTAATTATTTCAACTACAGCATGAGAAAGACAGTAATGCTGGGTTAAAATTTTTTTTGTTTTTTTTGTTTTTTTTTTGTTTTGTTTTAAAAAGAGTTAAAATAATCTGTTCTTTCAGTGCTGAGAATTTGTGGGATTTCTCAATTTTTTAAAATGAAAATATTTTCTTGTTCAGCTTAATTAAATACTTCAGAAGCACATCTTTAATGAGTGTGCTGATGTGAGAGAGTGTGCATGTGTGTATGTATGTGTAACATAGGTTACTCAGGAAGTAATGTCTCCTATTGATTTCCATGCCAACTGCAACAGATACAAAAAGCATAGCAATGCTGTTTTTTAGAGCAAATTCTCAACTACAAAATAGTGTTTTTCAACACAGTCACCACCATTAGCTAAGCATTTTCACCAGCAGTGAACATAAGCCTGTGTGCCACGCTTGTAAAAATCTATACTAGTGGATAGATTGCCACTGCTGAAACACACCATGTACTGCCTCACTGTGCTGACGCTTACTGTTTGGTCTCCATAAATGTCCAGCAAGTGTCAAAAAATGCATGTCAGTGCTTACTTTTTTTTTCTGTGTGGAAGGCTCGGCTTCATACACGCTTTCATGTCAGACACCATTTTCTCAGGTTGCTCCTTTGCTTCTCTGTCACACAGCAACAGAATGTTATGAAGTACTGGTTGGAAGGTCCAACCTTTACTGAGCAGCCCTTCTAAATATGTATAAGTACATATATACATATATATGTATATATGCATATATATATATATATACGTATATATGCATATATATATATATATATATATATATATAAAATATATATATATATAAACGCAGGAAGAAACCAAACACTTGTTTCAATAGCACTTTCACCTCTGTCAAAACAATGACAATGTAAATCTGTTTTTTCAATTTAGTCTGTAAAGGATTTCCTACAAGACATCGTAGATCTGTTCTTTTCATTTAGCTTAGGTTAGGCAAGTCAAGAAAACAAAGCTAATGAGTGCTGTGATTGACAGTTGAGTCTTGGGATGTATCTTTAAACTGAGAACATGCTGCAGTAGATTAAGATCAAGTAAGTTTGGCAGTTAAGAAATATGATGCCATTCAATTTACTTTCCTTATGTTTAGGATTCCATTTATATCCTTCACGTCCTCTGCCCTAGATTTTCATTCTTTGGTGAGAAAGTGAATAAAAGAGCAGGTATATTTGTCAGATCTTCCCATGCTCCTTTTCTGAGGCGAGTATTGACATAACACATTAAAATGTATTAAATCCTCTAGGTAAAGAGGAAATGGGACTTGTTCTGATTCTACTTACGTAGCAAAAATCAGGGCTATATCTTCTTAGGTGAGTGCAATTACTGTGGGGTATAGAATAAGGCTTGATTTTATTACCCATACCTCAAACTGGCAGTTCCCTTAAGCATCTCTTGAATTTTCATGATTATAATTTACTGTTCTCTTTCAGCTAGCAGCTTCTGTTTTGTGTGCATGATAGCCTAGAAACAAATCATATCTGATGTCTGCAGTTGAGTGAACAAATTCTATGGGAAACTTTAAAATGTGTCTAAAATAATGTATTATGTTCTGTTTATTGAGAATACACTATATCCAGAATAATAGCTCATATTCAGCTCAGATTAGTAATAAATGAATGCTGTTACACCCTGATATTGGTATGATGATTTACAATGTGAGAAACAAATTGATAGTCCCGACTGGTTCAGACGAGATATTCTCTATATAGGAAATTCTGTTCCTATCTTTCCACCACCTGGAAGAGTTTAATTCTGTGGTTGTCAATCTTGTATTCACTGGTGATTGAAACATTAATAGAGAATTTCCAGAAGAGAAGGCACCAGAGAGGACTCATTGCAGCCTTTCAATACTTAAAAAAAGTCTTAGAAAGATGGAGAGAGACTTTTCACAAGGGCTTATAAGGGGTAAAGGTTTTGAACTTAAACAGGGCAGATTTGAGTTAGATATAAGGAAGAAATTCTTCACTATGAAGGTAGTGAGGTGCTGGATCAAGCTGTCCGGAGTACCTGTGGATGCCCTATCCCTGGAGATGTTCAAGGTCAGGTTGGATGGGGCTTTGATCAATGTGATCTAGGGGAAAGTATCTGTGCCCACAGCAGCGTAATTGGAAGTAGGTGATCTCTAAGGTCCCTTCCAATCCAAACCTTTCTAGCACTATATGATTCTGTGATTATAAGTGATGTGCCCTTGCCTTCAGAATGCGCAGATTCATAGAGACAAACCACTGCAGAAGAAATCTCACTGGGTATATGTTGGCTAGTTATAGCAGGGAACTATCGTTTATTCTCTGTGTAACTGCCTCATCCTTTACTTGTTTTGTTAGGTTGCTGTGCCCTTTTTGGTTAGGTTTTTAAACAGTCTTGGTCTTTTTGAGATTTCCTGCTGTGAACTGTTAGAAATCGCACACAGAATATACTGCCAACATCTGAATGTAATGGCTTGAACAGTGCAACTATTCTTTAGATCTTTTAACAGTCCACTTGAGATCTTTAAGAAAAACATTAATTCCTCAAGAGTGAAAAGCAACTGGAATATGATCAGTAAGATTGTTGGCAAAGCACTGCTTTGAACTGAATGAGCCTAATGCCAGTTCCTTGGTTTTGTACCAAACACAATGAAAATCATCATGCTTTATTGTTTCTGTCATCTGGACATGTCCAGCTGTAGTTGGAGACACAGATCCAAACTGGTTACAGTTATTTCTCAACTAATTAGCTATCTGGACATGATTTACTGCCTGCAGCTATGTGATTTACTGTCCAAACCTCACTGTAAACGGACATTTGATGAATAGTTGGATATAATGTGTATGCATACATGAATAAAACTAATATTCTGCATTTTATATTATATGTTTTGTATAGTTCTTAGCAGACATTGATAGGAAATAAATGACTTCTCATTACTGAAGAGATTTTAAAAAAACTTATTATTTTAAAGCATCTAATGTTGTTTTCTTAGGAATCTTGAAATTTAAGTAGTTTCTACAGAACTTTTAATGCTGTAAAAAAATCTCCAGTAAGTAAAATTTAAGATTGAAAACATACAGTGATATTTAGGGGGGAAAAGGACTATAATCAAAGAAAATATGAGTCTAATTCAGAGAGACGGTGGAATCTGTAGACTGCAATTAAATGTTTATATTCTCTACTCAGTGCACTAGGAGGATGTGAGGATGGGAAGAATGTGTTGAAGAAGAGCAAGGTGCTTCAGGAGGGTGATCCAAAACTTTTATGTACTAGCAGGGATCAGAGCAGTGAGTGCCAAGCAGAGGGTTTGCCTACCTCTCCCAAGAACATAATCACCAGAACTCAGGCAAGTGCAGCTAACTGATTGAGACAGAGTCTAAAGACATTTCCTAATATTATCTTAAAGCATAAATTAAAAGAGCATGGCTAGACTCAGTCTTTTAAAACCTCCTAATGCTGATGGTGCCTGCCAGCACATAACAAAACAATTGCTAGAGCACTCATCTAGAGGAAGGAAAAGCTGGATTCTTTAGAATTTTGAGTCCTAAGATTGCTGTCTGGAAGATTTCGAACTTAAAATTCTAACTTGAATATATGAAAATATGGAAGTATGAGACTTGTATATACCCAGAGGCCGTAATTCTCTAGTAATATCAACTTCCAAACCTTCACTTACTCTCTGTAAGGGTTGATATTTGATGGGCAAAAAAAAATCTTTAAAAGCATTCAGTAATATTTATTGTCAGCTGAGATACAATTGGGAAGATCTGTTGCCTGGAAGACAGTTCATCAAGTGGTCCACCTGTCAAGAAAAGAAGTTATTATCGCTAAGTAACTGAAAAGAGAACAAGAACGTTATTGCTGGAAAGATGGGCTGATGATGCAAACAAGTATCTAGGGATCTCAGAAGAAGAAAATGATCTTATGGGTAGTGATAGCTATTATTCTAGTTCCAGAAAGAGAATTAAGTAGGGTGAATAGGGAGAGGATAGAAACCAGTGGATGAAACGCAATAATTTTCTTAACGCTGTTTACTGGTCCATAATATTAAGCCAAAATATTTTTAAACTTCTTTCAAGCTTACACATGACTTGTAATGTGTTTCCTACTATTCTGCTGAATGATATATAAATAGCTAATCATTTAAGTCATTATTCGTAGTTCTTTGGGACTGATATTTTCCAGACTTTTTCCTATTTTTGTGTTGAGTGGAGAAGAAAAGAACCTAGGGAGGAAGACTGAGAATGTGAAAAAAATCCCCTCAGCTATTTGCAAGTCATGGAAAAAAATGCATTGCTTCAAAGTAGGAAGAAAAGGTGATTTTCTCATTTTAACTTTTGAAAGCTGTGGCAAAAAAATGGCTGCCGTTTGAAACTTGTAACAAAGTAGGCTTCCCACTCATGGGGATTCGAAGCTTTATTTTGAAATACAGCATCCACACAGAATTACATATGAGTGAGCATAATCTCTGTGTGTGCTCAGTCACAATTCCTAAGATTTTAGAAAAATTATATTACTACTGGTCTGAATTGTGAAATTCATTCTTTCCATTTGGCCTGACCAGAATACTAAGGGAAAGACAAATTGCTGCTGAAATAATTTGTGGGTGGGAGATTTTTTGTTGCTTCTGTGAAACACAGTAAATCTTCCAAATCACAATGAATTATGCACATTTACTGGTAGAAAAACAGAAACTTTCACATGCATATATGAAACGTCCCTTGGGTTCTGCTACTGAAAGATACACACAAAGTTTTATTCACAGTCAGTGACAATTGAACCAAATTGAACCAGTATTTGGTAAATCTCAAAGGGTGGAAGTTTCATTGAATCCCATTACATTTCAGGCACCTTACAAGTCTTTTTTCCTAGTTCCAGTTGCTGCAGTTGAATATTATTCAGTGAAAAGGGAAATGCTGAGGTTCTTCCTTTCAACCGGTTTCATATTCTTCTTACATATTAAATTTCCCAACCCAAAGTGAATTCAGACTGTAACTGAAATTTGGCTTTTCTGACACAGTTACTTGTAGCTGCAATTAATAAAGATTTCCTCTTGCCCAGTCTTTGAATTTCCACAAAGAAAACTGATTTAATCTAGTTGCAAAGTGGCAGAAAAGAAAAGCAAGGAAAGGGATTCTATAACAGCAGGAAGAAGGGACTCAGAATACCTGAGTGGTAGCAGGCTTCAAGCAGTGACTGTGGAGTTGGCAGAGCAGAGCAGAAGGCGTAGCTAAATGTGGTCGTGGTACTGGGCATTTTGTAAACACAATAACCTGAAAATGAACTTCAGAGGAGGTGGCAGTGAGTGTTTTTTGGAATCAGGAGTCAATTTCACCAATGAGTTAGTGAAGGAACAAATCAACATGAAAGCCTATAAGAAAAATATATGTTTCAAACGTGAAGTGTAATATTTATTACTATTAAGCTGTTTTATGTGACTAACCAAGTGCAGAAATTGCTTTTGCCGTTTAGAATGGTGTTTCACTTTTAGAGTTAGTATTTGTAGCTTCTATTAGATAGAACTAAAATGTATGTATTTGAGATTCCTGCTTAATTATTTATTAATACTCAATTAATTATTTCAGTAATAGTCACAAAAGTGACTGAAAATGTGTGGATTAGATTTTCTTGCTCTTTCTTCCAGATTTCTTGTTTCATATGGAACATCCTTAGAGCTTCATATACATATCCTTAGAGTTATGCATTTGTTTTGATTTGAATGGTTGCAACTAACCGCAACACATACAAGTAGGAAAAGTCTGTGTTTGTATATAAAATAACAAATGAAGAGCAAAAGCATATAGCACTTAAGTAAAATTCTGTACACAACTGTGTATTCAAAATCCAGTATCAGAGAAGAGTGAGAAAGAACTCATGGATTATATTTAGTTGTAATAGTTAAATAGTTAAATTACTTAATTTTGTATAGAGAAAAAGAACACCTGTTTCCATTAACTCTTTCCATATTAATGGAATATAAAATTAAAAAAAGTATGTCAGAAAACTATTAAATTCTGACAGTATGAAAACAAGAGATGGTGCAATAAATAAAAATAAGTATTCCCTAATGTATTTCCATGATGCTAGAACTTCTTAGAGCTCCTCCAATTTACATTCTACAGTTACAGGTATGTAAGAATTCAGTCACATATAAGTAGGGTTAAAACATTTCAGTTTGTTGTTGGTGTTGGTCAATGACTTATTAGTATGTTTCTCTATTTTATCCTACTGTAAACATAACTTTTTATTTTGGATGTACTACTCTTATTTTGTTGCTACATTTAATTCTTTAGTTCTCTTTAATTTTAATTTTAACTTAGAATGTTTTTTTATTTTTTTATTTTTAATTCTATGCCACTAAATTTACTGTTCTGTTAACCTCCTAAAACAAACTGGTGACACTTGTCCTTCTGGACAATGGTAATATTGGTATTTTTTCCTTTCTTCCAGGGGTATTAGAAAAAACATGCTTTTATTCAAATGGGAGTGAGGTCCTCACAGTTAATGGTGACATTGAAACGTCTAGCAATCTTTTGCCAAACATGGTTGAAAACGATTCCAAGACTCATCCCACAGTGGATATCAGCACATGGACTCCCTCCTGGACCACCACACCTTTATCTCAAGTTGGCCAAATGAACACAAACTCAAATATGTTTAGAGAGACTTTAGAGGAAAATGCATTTGCACCTACATCTCCAGCATCAGTGCTCAATCCTGATCTTACAAACAACGATGCTTTATCAGAGAACCCCAAATACAGCACCCAGCTTTTTGCCACTACAGAGGGAGAGCCATCATGGTCGACAGATGTCTCCTCTAACATCAAAGACAGGATGACCACTCTACCTGCATTAAGTCCTACTCATCCATCTGTGTCACAGAAAAAGGAGCAGAAAGAAAGTAAGTTTATGTTTTATTTGGCTTCATAATTCTGATTCAGATGAATAGAATACATTGCTGGCTGCTTCTCAGTGCGTTCCATGAGTTCTGAGGAATTAGCCACTTTTTGATAACTTATATTGTCATGTATATTCCATGTTGCAATCAGTATGTTATCAGGACATTTCATAAGAAGAGGAAGATACACTAAGTTCATTCAGGAATGAATATTTACAGTATGTTCCTCAACTGGTGAAAGTCATGCATGCTTACCGTGTCTGAAAATGAATTACTGCAGACTTAGTTTGTAGATAGAATTTTCTAGATTCTTTTGAAATTATATATGTGGTAAGTATCTTCCTGAACTGGGGATGTAATGACAGTTACAACATTTCCTATGTTAATGGGTAAATTCTTTAATTTGAAGTTATTTCTCAGTGCTGCAATAAACTTCCAGTGAAAATTCTGGTGACATTTCTGAGGACCGTTATGGGAATGTCAAGAAAGAACAATAAGTTAACTGTGATCAATTTTCATTGGTTTGATTATTAAAAAAAAATGCATTTCATTACTGCCTTAGTAGTTTTATTGATTAATCATGTCAATATTGAAAGGTTTCTTTATATTCTTTTGTTAACCCTCTGAACTTTATATAGGTTAATATAAATGTATGTTAAAATGCACTTGATTTTCTTTCATTGCCTATCATTCCTTAGATGTTCATCTCATCTGATCATGAAGCAATACTTACTTCAGGTCACAGAGATATCTGAAATAAATTAAAAGAGATGGCCAGTGACCTAAAAGTCACACTTTGTATAAGATGTATATTTCAAATTTCTATGAAATGAAAATGAAGAGAGGGTATCTGTCAGTAGGGATCTCTTCCAAAAAGCCACTGAATTATATGATGTTTTGAGGTGTCAGTCCTCTGTTGAGTTCCATACTCAGTTGTAAGATCTGATATTAGCTATCTACCCAATGAATGTATTATTCAGGTGTGAGTGATCAGATTGTTTGCATCACAGATTTTTTTGCTCTGCTGTTTTCTTCAGAAACATTTTGCCTTCAGGAGTTTGTTCCTTTCCTTCCCTGCCCCCTCATTATCATCAAATAAGCAGATAAAAGTTGTAAAAGAGCTCTTTATATCCTTCCTTGTTCTTTCCAGAGTGAAGTAAAAGAGGAAACTCTGTAATTTATATGTATATATATATATATGTGCATTTGTATATGTGTCTTAACTGAGCACATGGAAAACATTCCTTTTGAGGGTGTTCCTTTATTGTGAATCAATAATTTTTCATTTACTCCATCTCCTGCAGTGTAGTTATTCCACAGGCTGTGGGAATTGTCTAGGCTTTCTATACATTACATCCACTAGATTTTCTTTAACAGATTCGTATCTTGTTTATTCTTCTCACATACAAAAATCAGAACAAATGTATGTAAATGTATACTTGTATCCTGTTGGTGGTTCATTTATTTACCTTAGTCATTATGTAGTATTCTATATACTATATATATACTTGGGGGGATCCAGGATATTTTATTCTCTGAATAATTTTGTGTTCCCGTAGCTGTACAAAGCATTGAGGACTAGAAATCATAGGCTTCTCCTACTATCTCACCCCTGTACCAGCCTTTGCAAATTATCTCCTTATACTTCTTGGCTTCTTTGGTCTCTCCCACTAAACTTTGCTTCCCAGAGAGAACTCCACCGAGGTTTGATGTCCAGAAGTATTCTCTTGTTGAGAGAGATTGGGAAAATCAGGAAAAAGTGATGTATGCATTTTTGGCATAGTTAGGCTGGGGTAGTCTTTTGGAGTGCAAAGGGGTTTTTAGGGCAAGCAAAACACTTAATGACTATGTAGGAACAGTGGTAGTAGATCAAACAGTATCACTGTCATGATCCAGTTGTGACCGTTAGCATGTGCCAAAAGAAGAATAAACTAGGACTAGCATCTAGAAACATCTCAGCATTGCATGGTAGCAGATTCCAGTGATCTGTAGTGAGTCTTGTTGAATTTTCTTCCAGTAATTTATGTAATTTCTTTTGGGCCAATACAGAATGGATATTTGAGCTTTCTAGGCCTATCATAAGGAAATTAATCTGGAAATGAAGTGTGAGGCTGATGTTTCACTGTTATCAACAAACACTAGCAGATCATCCATCAGGACAGGTTTCATCTGGTTCAGATGTGGTCAGGTGAGTGCACTACTGATGATTTAGTAAGAGAGCATAACTTGGACTTTATGCTGTTTTTATGCAGGATATTGAAAGACAAATGATATGTCACACAACACAGAGGCTGCCGGTGCAAAACTAGCCAGACAAAATTCTCTGAAGACCTTTGAAATGGCAGTAATATGGCTATAACATTTTTGGTCTGATCTTAATATCCTTAGTACTGGATTTGCTATAATGTTGAATCACAGCTTCAATAAAATACGTTAGAGAATATTAATAAAAGAAATTATAAACACTGTGACTATATGATATTCACCCAAGACTTTAAAATAACACTAATATGAGATTTCTGAATTACTAACTAGAGTGGAATGAAATTTTGCACATGTGACATCAATTATTATAAAAGCCCTTGAAGCATAAGGAAGTGCTTTGTCAGAAATCCTAGTCAAGAACAGATTAATAGGCAAATGGGAATGAATGATACAATAAAGAAGTGACAAATAAGTTTGTTTTCCTTTTACAAAAGGAAGCAATACTTCACCGTCTGTTTGAAACCTCTTTGACGGAGTAAATGACATTTCTGGTTAAGTTAGCATACTTGTTCTTTAACCAGAGACTTCTCTGAGAAGTCTTAAAGAGAATTGTCTCTTAGACTAATTGCTCGTTCAAACACAGGGAAGTATATGACTGGTTAGGTTCCACTGTGAAGCTTACCAATGGAGCCTCATAGGGTTTCATGTGAATGTAGAGTTTACACTATACCTTAAAAATGATCCAGGAAGGCAGTGAATAGTCAAGTAACAACATTTCTACTTGTACTGAGTAGCCTAAAATGAATATATGAGATATTGCGCGCGCACACACACAAAAAAAAGTTGAGGGTTTGCTGCAGACAACATTCTGACTCAATGATGGTCAAAAAGGCAACTCTGTTTCAGGTATTGTCATGATGTCAGATGTTGTCATGTTGTCGTGAGCGATGCAGAGAATAAAAGGAAAACTCATCACTTCAGTGTATAAGTTCAAACAGAAAGAAAGAGGAAGAATTGGAAAATGCAAACAGCAGGCAAACAGATCAGTAAAGGTGTGTAATGGCTTAGATGTGAGGAAACACTGAATATGAATAAGACTCTTTTCCTCCTGGAAAATTGCCCTACATTTCTGAGTGGCTTGGAGAAGAAGAGGCAGTGGTTACTCAGTGTTTTTCTTTATATTAGTAGGTGCACAGTACATTTTGGTTATCAGACTAAGTTAAAGAAGATAGCCACAGCTTCACTGAATACATAGCTGCATTACAGAATAATGAGAAAACCAGAAAGTATGGAAATGCCTGGAAAACTTCATGATGAGTTGGTCTAGTTCAGGCTTTTGAACTCAATAGTTCATTTTCAACTTCTGACTTGTGAAGCCTCAAGACTTTACGCTGCCAGAAGTTGTCATACTCCTCGGGTGATTGTTCTTATTTGCCCTAGATTCTTATTATTTTTCTTGGTGGTTCCTTGCAAAAGCTAATTTCTGCATCAGATGTATCCTCTATTACTTCTCTTTCTTGCCAATGAAAGAGTGCAATAGGAGTGGATTTTTGTTTTGAGAGATTAGAGTTTGTATGAGTTCAGATTTAAATGTGTTGTTTGGAAGGCATGGTCCATAGGATGGAGAATTTCCTAACGTAACAGAAACATCAATAAGAGATTTTTAGGTTCACCAATAAGTTCACCAGTGGCATTTGGGGGTATATGCAGTAGTATTCTGTTCATCAGCAATAGTCATTATCTTAAAGAATAAAGGATGTTTTTCCAAGATAAATATCGATACACTTTCATCTGTACTTTTCTTCTCTTTGAAGCAAAAGTTGGCTGCATTTATGCGATAAAGTGGTAGACTGACCAGGAGACATCTTGTGTATCAGATTGAGAGTGATGTTTTCATTTCAAATGGAGCAGACTCCCTGGTTTATAATACTGCTGATCTGGGGAGACTAATGGAATATGCACTGAGTCAAGTGGTATTAGCAGCTACTTTTGTTTCTTCCACTTACTGATATTTTTTTATATATATATATATATATATATATATATATATGCTTAATATCCTTTTCTTTGGTCCTATGCCAGTTCTCTCATACTTCTCTTCTAGCAGACAGTCAAGTAGCCACACAGCCTTTTCATGTACTCAAATGCACATGGAAAACTGTGACTATGCTCGAATACTAACAGGAAAAGTAACATGACCAAGTGTTCTGAGGTTGATCTTCTATCATCCCTTTCTTTGCGGGGCCTGGCATCCAGCTCGCCCAGCACTCTGGCAAGCAGCACACAAGCCTGCCCTTGGCACAGCCCTGAGTGGGTTGTATGGAAATAAGGGATGTATTTTTTCAGCTCTGACTATTTCTGAAGATACTGAATAGAGTGCTAGGAAAGGGCATGAGTCTCAGGTGATCACGGATTCCCAGTCAGCTCCCCTCTGCACTTAAGCAAGCGTCTTAAGTCTTAAGTCTTAAGATCAAAAACAAGCCCTAAATGGTTGCTTCTAGGAGTGAAGTGAGAAAGTGCCTTTGCAAAAGTGAAACACTGTTTATGGACTTCAGTTCAAAAAGCATATGTTTTATTTTTGCATGTTTGCAACTATTACTCTTCTTAAAAAAGAAAACAGATATGCTTGTTATGTAGAGTAGTAGCAATAGTAATGAGAAAACTCTTTCATGTTTCATGCGCATTTGAAATGGAGCAATTTATTTGCAACACCCTGCTCTGCCCAGAGGTCATCTCTTATTGTAATATAACAATGTCTAATTCATACATTAAATAAACATTTTTCTCTCACCAGCACT